ATAGCCAACTAATGTTGTGACCTTACCTTCAAAACAGTTCCATTATCAATTGGAAAAAGTCCTTTGGCATGCAGTTTAGGTGAATGAAACACTAAATATAGATGAATGGCTTCAATCTGAATATTGAAATACATACATTTTTGTAATCAACTCATTTAATTCTTATGAATTTTGAAAAAAGTACCTGCATCCTTAGGTGAAGGGCTGGAAAATTGTCGTCATTATTTATTAAATTATGATGGATGTTCATTGTCTAAAATTATCTTGTAATGATTTAGAAAATGAAATTCAATAGTTTAACTATGAAATCTCACCATAATTGAGTATTTGGTCGCCGTATGAAATACATAGGTTATTAATAACTGTGAATGCATAATCCACATCACGCAAGCTGAAAACAGGAGTTGAAAAATATTTTATTCCCATTAAAAATTGCTTTTGATGCTTGGAAAATCTATTAATAAACTAAAAGTAGAATTGCTTACCGATTAATTGTAAGACCGGAATCGTATCAAAGTGGATATAACAATAATTCAAATCGGTGAATTGAACATAAAAGCAGAACAAGACTGTGCCCACTTGTGACAATCCGAATATTTCATTTAAAAGTTCGATCATTTCATGGATGCAACTATATTTATGAATCCATTCTATTCGCTTTGACTCAAAAGATGCATCCATTCTACACGCACTGCCACAGTTTGCTTTCTTTTGCATATATTTAATCTCATCTTGCATCCGTTGCATCTCGTACAGCACAATTTCCAAACAGAAAATGTAGTAAAATAGCCGCATTTGACATATTTTTATTGGGATTATGTATGCCATGTAAGACAGGAAATTAAAGTTACTTAATGTCTGTGGTATAGAAATTATTATCATGTTTGCGGCAAAAAATTCAACAATTTTAATCACATAACTTTGGGAAATCACGTTTGATTGACGATGAAGATGTTTGTTAATTTGTTGAAAAATGATCCAAAAACGTCGATGCGCCCGTCGATGAAGTAGAGAATCGAATATGATCAAGCAATAGCCAACTAATGAAGCTGAATACTCCACAAATTCATTTATGCTCTCAATCAATCCGAATGAATAGTAAAAATTGTAAAAGAAAAACACTCCGTATATTGTAAGCAAAACAGCCATTAAAATGTGCATCCAGTTGATTAAGTATGATATTTTTGAGCCATCAGATAGACTGGTTGACTGCGTGTTAAAACCACAAATATCGAACAGTTTCAAAAACCGCACAATTTGATTTGGTAACATTATAGCGGTATTCAGACTCAAGTTTTCAGAAACAAACTCAACCAAATGGAGTATATTAGCCACGTATCATATCAATACTGAATCGTTAGTTGAAATTTGTAAATGAATTTACTACGAATTGGTTTAACTTGCATTATTACAGTATAACATTGATGACTGCTCTTATTA